CTGCCAGCGGCGGCCGTGTGCGCCGTCACGTCTCGTCGCTGGCCGTGTGAGCAGCCCGGCTGCCGGCAGTCGCCGCCGCTGCGCACCACTCCGCAGCCCGGCCCGGCCCGGCCCGGCGCGGCGGAGCCCACCCGCCACATATCCGCGCGCACCGGACTGAGCAGCAGTCTGAGCCGCGGGTGAGCAGCTGTGAGAGCCGCGGGTGAGCGGGTTGAGTCGCGGGTGAGCAGTTTCAGCAGCCAGTGAGCGGGCGCCCCCTACTGCCCCCTCTCCTCCCTGGATGACGGCTGCACGGTCTGTACGGCCCTCCAGCAAAAGAGTGGTTGGTTAGCCTATGTGCTTTTGGTGTAATAACTTCGAATGACAGAGACACTCCTGTAAAATGACTCAATAGAAATGAGAAAAGGGTTCGTGCACAGTGACCACACACTTCGGCAATGGTTATCAACAGCCATTAGACGTATTCGTCAATGCAGATCGCTTATTTTGATGTTGGCAACCAACCACTTAATACCTGGAGGGCGGTACATACTCTGTACTGCACAATGCACAGCGGAGGGACAGATGGAGCGAGATAGGCCGCGCACCACCGAGGCCGTTCTGATCAAACGAACACAGATCGGACAATACGGCCCCTCAAATATGGTAAGCGATATATACCAGCACATTTTCGTCTGATGCAAGGGATTCGACAGAGTATTACCAAATTCAGGTCACTTTTCCTTAGGAGGAAGCTTGGCAGAAAGTTGAGTGTGCAATGTAGCTAGCTGGTAACAACGTAGTATTTACTAGGGTTACCCGCGTGCTCCGCAACGCGAAGAAGGGTTATTTTTGACCCGTGGGTATTGGGTTGGTCTGTGTCGATTTGGTTGGCATCCATTTCGTTCGATTGCTTTTCGGCGGCCAAGCATTTTGTAATAAAACAAAAAAGAAGTTCGCAAAAAGATACATCGCATCGAGGTGCCCGTGTCGTATTATCATGCGTTCTACTTAAGAATTATTCGGAAACTGGCGTGAAGTCTTTTGAGGACCATCGATGAATTTCGGTAAAAATGACTATGTAGTGATTTGAAACATTTGCATTTTTTAGAATATTGTTGCTTGTCATGCAAAAATGTTGGGTGTATCTTGGACAAAATTGAATGCTCTTTCAAACAGTACCAGTTTCAATTGCGAAACATATCAGGTTATGCAGCAAAACCCGTGTAATTAAGAAAACGGCACATCATCGACAAAAACCATTTTCTCCAGCCATTTATACCACCTTGTCGTCGATCAATTAGCTATTCACAATTTTCCCATGAGAGGCGGTACATTTCTCTTGTCAACAGGCGTTGTTTCAACTCGCTCCGTTTAACGGTCACCTAAAAATAAAATCAATTCCAAAATCCGTCCAAAACGTCAATTTTCCACATAAAAGTGCCCTCCTCCATAGGCGTAGGAACAGGGGGGCCGGGGGGGCCATGGCCCCCCCACTTTTTAGCCATTTTTTAAAGTAAAATATTTATTTTTTTATTTAAATACAAAACTAAGAGCAGGAAATGATTCAGCAAGGTGAGATGAGCACAAAACTGCAAAGAATTTCTTCATAGGGGTATTGGGGCTCCCACAAAGTGACATTGAAGTTTCGCTGGCCCCCCCACTTTTCGTGAGGTTCCTACGCCCATGCCCTCCTCGGTGCACGTGGCGCGTGCCATCCTCTGCATCGTACACCATTTGATAGCCCGTTCAATTATCTACACGATGCTGTTTTTCCCGTGCCGGTCGGACCCCTGGTCACCAAGATATTGCACGGGGACCGGACCCGTGTCGGCCAAAATTTGCCGTTTTCGCCCGATTTCGCACGCCGATTTATACATGTAAAGTCTATGACGCGAATTTGCACTTTTTGGGCACGCGCCACGCGCTCCCTATCAATCCGATCGAGCTGAGACCCCTCAAAGGCACGTCGCGCATCCTTGATCTATAAGTTGTGCAAATTTCACCGCGCTAGGTGCAACGGTCTGGCCTGTAGTCCACGCAAAGCACCACCAAGTCGGGACCTCGGTAACGGACAGACGCACCCTCCTCAAATAGTAATATAGATTGTATTGCTGAAGATTTTGTGAAAGTAAAAAACTACCGTGTAACTCTTTGGTTCCCTGCTTTGAGAGTACCTAACTACCATACGCTTGGCCAGGACACCTGTCCCACTGTCCCTATTACCTGTCTTCTGTACCCCTGTACCCACTCCCTCACTCCCTCCTCCCCCTCTCTCTCGCTCTCTCTCTCCTTCCTTTCTCTCGCTTTCTCTTTTCTCCTTCTAGGACTACAGTCGACCCGGCAACAAGCCACGAGAAACCAATCGGACTCTTCTTGCGAACAGCGGTGCATAATGATGAGCAAAATGTGTAACCGCATTTCAACAAAACCTTACGCTAAAACCTTCTGCCTACCATAATATCCTAAAACAAAAACATATAAACAGAATGGATTGATCGAAGAAGAACTCCGAATGCACAGCCTAGGCCCCAGATATCAAATGTTTGTCTCTCGTGCTTGAATGTCAAGCTTGAGCCATTAGCTTCAAGACCTCCCTCGCCCTCCGTCCCCTGGTGTTATTGTTGCAGTCTCCAACCGAAGTCTTCCGGCGACTGCTGGTGCTACCGCCCCAGCGCCCGACGCAGTCTCCCAGCACCGCCCTAGCTCGGCCTCCTCTCCGGCATGCTGATAGGAACACGTGACCTAGGGCACAGCCGCCTTGCCAACTGCCGGTTGAACACGTCATGACCCGATGCACAGCCCCTGGCCGGTGAGGACAGCCCTCCGGTTCGACTGGTGAGTACACCGCTCCGGCCGGAAGCGCAGCGCGCGGTGATTCACTACACGACGTCCCCAGATACATCACAGGCGGAAAACTACCGCCACCGCGCCCACTCCCCCATCGGAACAGAGCCTCAGAGCCCGCCCGGGGCGCCCGGGGCGCCAGCCCGTCCGTTTAACCGGCTCCACTTATTTGGGTCCCGACTGCACAGTCCCAACCGGTCCGGCCTGAGCTAACGGTCGTCGGGCATTAAAAGTTTCTCGAAACCCAATTAAGTCTAATCGTGCGCTGGGCATGAAATGTCACCAAACTACGTGTTGGTGCACAAGCAAGGACTGTTTCCGAGTTAAATGTTTTCGTCGTGCGGGAGCAGTTCCCCAGCGGATGCGTGCTCGGTAACTATACGTTCCGGCGCCGCGCCTGCACCAAGCAGCAATAACAAAGGCTTCAGAGCCGGGATTCGTGGAATCCGACTGAGCCGGGGCTGTCATATCTGCGGCGGAACCAGTTCTGGGAACAGCGCGGCTCAGACGCCCCCGCCATCGTTTGCGGGATTTTGCATTGCAAGGCAGCCATATTGTCCTTCCAAAGCCGCTGACGTCACTGTCCGTGCTATTTTCAGCTTGTATATAGCTATACAATAGCCAGTCAGCGCACCTTTGTGCAACGAAATGTGTGAATAACAACGAACCGTTGGTATGCCAAGAGCGAATAGTAATTTTTCTTGCGCTCCAGCCCAGAGAGGCCATGTTTTAGCTCTGCGCTGGCTCTCGCACATTTTGTATTCCCCAAAGATGTACTGCACATAGCCAGGCCACCCCGCCCGGCCCCCGGTGGGGTGATGGAAGCGGACGTGCCTCGTACCCCTCCCACGTGACCCCGCCGCGCCGGCGGGCGTATTGTCTGTGCCGAGGTCACGTGATAGTTGTCCCCGGGCCCCGGCCTGGCCGACCAGCCACGCCAGCCAGCGCGGCTCCGCAGTGTCAGCACTCGGTGCAGGTGTGGCCAGTTTGTGTACAGCCTAACACTTATCGCGGGTATGGAAATAATTTTAAATGTACCTATCCATTGTACCATTCAATTCAACATGTATAGGCTCATCAAATAGAAATAAATGCCGGCACTTGACAGCATTGATCTATGCATTGATTCTTGGGAAAAAGGTCCAGTGAATTTAATTCAATATTGATCGAGACAATCAGGCATGAACGTCGATAAAAACAGTAGCATCAGTTCTCACCATGAAATGTCTCGCTTGTTTGAGCTGCACAATAATAGATCGGGTTGAGTAACACCAAAAGCAGTTTCTCTGGAGAAGTGAGTGGGTACCTATTCAGCCAAACATTGGCCTTTCCACATGCCTACAGAGGTCGACGTTAAGGTGCTAAAACCGAGCCATCCACTGCACAAGCCCAGGCTGTCCCATCTTCTAAGCCCTGTGTAAGTTTTCACAATATCTTTGGTTGGTTTTGCGGTGTTGCGTTGGTTTTGAAACGGTCTGGGGTCACTTAAAGCTAATCGTGTAGTCATCGAGACAGTGATCAGATATCAATATAGGCATCTGAAAAGGCAATAAAGCCAGCATATCAGTACCTACATACGAAAATTACTAACAAAACTGCCTCAACCCGCCTAATTTGTGCATGCCTAAATATAGCCATTCCTTTCAGCCTTTGCAAGACTTGGAGCTTGGAACTAGACGTGCTTCAGGGTAGAGTCACAATGACAATGATGAAAGTATAGGTAGGTCTATCTACTTATAAGAATTTTTAAACGACTGCAAAGGGTTAGCACCCGAGAACCAGAGGTACGAACTAGAATTGTGTCTCATTTGGTGGGCCACGCTCATATCTTCAATGAGCAGTAATCGCCACGCACTTTGTATGTGGATCGCTCTTAAATGTAAATACAATACAATACAATATCTACATATGTTGACGGTCTGTGACTTATTATTACGCTATTATGCTCGCATTTAAGTGAGATTTAACAGAAGTATGTTGAAGCTGATCGATTCGAGCACACGCTTCACAATGCTTCCTCCGGCCGTCTCGGTCACATTTTTATCAGCATTGTGCAAGGTCCCGAAGGATGCCTCGAGATGGCCTTGTCCGGTCCGCGGAAGCCATTCTCCGAAGGACCCGTGGGGCTGCAGCTGACGCGGCGGGCGCTGGCCCGCTCCCCCCGCCCTGCTCACCATTGGGCCGCGCTGCGGTGGCTGTCTGTCCTCTGCGGTCCCTCCGCGGCACGTCACTGCTCTGTCGGCGCCGCGCTCGGACCACCCGTCCGCTCAGTCGGACCGCTCGGAGTCGACTGCCGCCGGGACAGGTGCGTCACCAGGCCGGCCGGCCGCGGCAGCAGCGCCGCCGGCGCCGGACAGCCTGACCTTGGAGGCCGGGACGGGATTTTCCAGCGCCTCGCCGGACCGAGCGCCCGGTGCGTGGGGCGCAGAAAAGACGCGCTGCCGTCCGAGCTGACTCATGGACCGCCGCAGAAACCGCACCAGCGCATCGGAAACCGGGATCATATCTCAGCGTAATATTATTGTCACTGGTAAAAGCCGTTTCAATGTAGCGGGAAAATGTAAATTCTGTCCTAACTAAACGTTTATATAATAGGTACATTTCCTTACAACTCATGCATCGTCTTTGCTGTAACGCTCAAATTAGATGGTAGGTAGGGAGCGCATAGGCGGCGGAACGGGGGAGGGGCACCGGGGCACCGTGCCCCCCTTGAATTCTGCAAGGGGGGCACCAATAGCAAGGTGCCCCCCTTAAATTTGATGTATTAGTACCAGGGGCGGATTCGGGAAAACTCAAAGGTCATGAATCGAAGTGGTGCCCCTACCTATACCCGAAATTAAAACCTCAACGGATTTCGGCCACCAAATTTTGGTGGTGCCCTATTTTCAGTTTTTATTTATTTTCTTTATTTTTGGTTAGTCATGTGATGACTGGTGCCCCTGCTAGGCCGCTGGTGCCCCTGAAAAGACTGTGGTACCTACCTACCCTGCCCCCTGACAAGCCTACGGTGGGCCCTGCACATGACTTAGGTGCCCATGGGCCCTGACAGGCCCGTGGTGCCCCTGACAGGCCTGTGGTGTCCTTGCTAGGCCTGTGGTGTCCCTGGGCCTTGGCAGGTCTGTGGTGCCCCTGGCGAGTCTGTGGTGCCCCTGTTAGAACGCAGGTGCCCTTGACAGGTTTGTGGTGCCCCTGACAATCCTAAAGTGCCAACGACAGGCTTGTGGTGCCCTTGACAGGCCCATGGTGCCCTTGCGAGGCCGGTGGTTCCCCTGCGAAGCCGATAGTGCCCTTGGCAGGCCTCTGGTGCCCCTGGCAGGCCTCTGGTGCCCTTGGCAGGTCTGTGGTGCCCCTGGAAGACCTGTAGTGCTTTTGCTAGGCCGATGGTGCTCCTGACAGGCCTGTGGTGCTACTGACAGGCCCGTGGTGCCCCTGCTAGGCCTGTGGTACCCCTGGCGGGCCTGTGGTGCCCCTGTCGGCTGTTAGGCCTGTGGTGCTCCTGGCAGGCATGTGGTGACCCCAGGCCCAAAGTCATGACCCATGTGACCTCCCCCCGGGGATTCGCCACTGATTAGTACTGCGATGGCTTCTTGGTAATTTGATACATGTAGGATTAACCCGGCAGGCGGTGGGCCTCCCAGCCACCTTCCGCGCGGTGGGGGGGGGGGGGGCATTTTTTGCCCCCCCCCCCGTATCTCCGAAACTACTGGACGGATCCGGAAAATTCAAACGGCGTTCGATAGCCCTGTCAAATTTGTCGAAGGAAACCATATTTCATTGACCTCGGGGTCACCGATGACGTCACAGGTCAGGTCAAAGATAAAATGTTTCACCGTTCACGGGGCTTCTAGGGAAAGCGCTATAACACCGAGTAAAACGCATTTTGTCGAAAATCAGCGATAGGGCGTCAGTTGTCTAGTACATATGTTGCTCTTAGAGGTCACTGGTCATACCAGGTCAGGTCACAGGTCAGGTCACCAAAGGTCACCAAGGGTCACCACATGAACCCAACTTTATTAAGGTTGTGCGATGCATGTTTTATGGCCAGTTTTTCATTTCCATCTCAATGGTGTTGGTTATAAGACCATCAGGTACGGTTTAGGTCACTTTCTGGTGGAGGTCAGGTCAAGGTCAGGTCAAAAAGGGTCAAATTTCAAAGTTGATATTTTTGCATAAAATGGGTATTGATTCGATGCAGCTCGTCACGGGGAGTCTAATGGTGGTCTTTGTTTTGCGCTACGAGGTCTAGAATTGCTAAAAATTGAGTTTAGAAATTTGACGTCATCAATTTTGAACAGTTTTTTCGCTATAACTTGGCCAAAAAAAAGTTATCGATCTCAAATTTGGTATGTAGATAGAAGGCGGTAGGGACTATCACATATATTCCGGTGTTTTTGAAATTCAAAAAACTTTTTGGATTTTTCGGCTATTATATTCAAAAAATCTATTTTTTGATTTTTGGGGGTCAAAATCCAAAAATTTCAAAAATCCGAGATAGCAGTTTTGTAGCCCTCTACATTCTACACCTTTTATGTCTGAAACATTTTTCTGCATCTCTAAAGCTGTAGGCCTGACAGCTCTTCTCGCGAAACCTTTTTTTTTGGTCGAAAATGGCAGAAATGACGTCACTCTGACGTCATTAGCGGCCAACCTATCATAGCCTTTGGAAAAATTTTTGGTCACCATGTGCGCTAGCTACTCCCGGGAGGGTACTGAAAGTTTGGTGACGATCGGCGCAGCGGTTCTCGAGATATATCGAAAAAAACTAAAGGGGGGGGGGGCAAAAAAAGGCCCCCCCACCGCCTGGAAGGTTAATGGAATTTATCAAACGAGAATAAGGAAGAGACAAACACATAGGTACTTGAGGATCAGCTTAAAGTTAACCACACATACGGGGGTGAACTGCCATTTTCGTTTGTTAAAAAATAAAAAATAAAAAATAAAAATCATCGTGTCAGGGCTGTGACGAAAAATAAGTGGCCTAAATCCGATGAGAAAACAGGATTTAGGGGTACCCTAGGTTTGGCTCCTTGAGCTGGTGCCCCCCCCCCCCCTTGTCTCAAATCGTTCCGCCGCCTATGAGGGAGCGTTCTTTACCCACTCGAAAACTTGCCTCGACCTTCGGAGGCCAGTTTTCGGAAACTGTCCTCGGAGACTAAAAAAGTGCAAAGCATGTGCTACCAGGTTATAGGAGTGCTATTTAACTTTCGCACTTTAATTTCTAGCCTCGAAAGCGTGATGACGCCTGCGAACTTGCGTTTTTTTTCTGAAATTTGCACGTCGTGCCGTGAAATGCCAATGGATTGTAGCGCTGTATCTTTGCTCAAATGTGTACCCGCGGCTGACCTCTAGAGCCACGGCGTCTGGCACTGGTGCGCGGTGACCCGACCTGACCTCGCCGGAGGGCTCGTGACGTCACCGGCGGGTGGCCCGAGCGAGCAGATGTAGATGATTCTTCATGGTTCAGAGTGGAAAGCATATGCATGGCCGCATGGGTCTGCCGGTAAGATAACAAATTATCAGCACGGGTGAGGTAATCTTTTCACGAGGGACCGAAGGTCCCAAGTGGTCCCGGCCGGGAAAAGATCACTTGATCTTTTCCCGGCCGGGACAAGATCACCTGTTTTTGAGGTTTATAGAATTAAAGAATTAAAGAATTTATAGCAACTAATAGTGTGTAAGAAATAGGGGAAGACGGGAAACACCGACCCCCTTAACCTTTTAGGGTCTACAGGGTACAGGGTGTACACTGTATATACAGGGTGTATTAACCCTCGCCGGCCGAGGGGGGGCGGGTGCCGCCCCCATAGGGTTTTTTCGCGATAGCTCCGAACACGCTGGCGATAGAGAGCTGAAACTTGGCATACCTGACCTTTGATTCAAGCCGGATCTTTTGGCACCAACCGCATTTTTGGGTCAGGTCAGGTCACTGACCTATGACGTCACAAGTGAACCTCTGCACGGTCTTCAGATGTCGCAACTTCGCAACGCCCTCACTGCCAGAGGAGATGTCACAGGGAAATGAAACTTGCAGGATCTAGTATCCATTATGAGTCTCACAACTTGTATATCTCGGATTTTCCCTAAAGGTCATATGAGGTCAGGTCATTTTCGTGACCTCACCATTATAAGTCAATGGGAAAAAATGAAAACTGCTATTCTGGCGCCGGAAACGATCTCCAACTATCTCAAGCACACAGAATCGTGATTTGATGCACTCCTTGCAAGGTTATACGCGTCACTTTTGCAATGTTGACCTTGCGTGACGTCATTTATGACGTCATCAAGGTCATGTTAGTTTTTCGTCAATAACTTTTGATCAAATTGAGCTAACGAGTTGGGAAAGCCACCAATGGACTCAGAAAGACCTGCCAAATCGAATGATATGCGACATGACCTCTTTTGACCAACTTCTTGACCTGGGGGTGCTGACCTGACCTTGACCTGAGGTCAACACCCTAAGTTGACCTGACCCGAACAAAAAGTATATCATTCGACGCGCCTTAGCGAGGCAAACACGATGCTGCCAAAATCGCGGCTTTGCAGCCATTTTTTGCGAAGTTATTTGCCAAAAACTGAACCGTACCTTGGGGCACTGGACCTGACCTCAGAGGTCACCGGTTGACCTAGGACCTTAAAATCGGGTACCAATCTCTGCGTCTCGTAACGGCGCACACGCTCGTTTTTTCCGCGACGCGCTAGCTTCACCAGGGGCGACACGGCGAGGGGGGATCGTACCCGTCCCCTCCCTCGGCCGGCGCGTATGTAGAAAACCAATAGGTCCGGCGAGGGTTAACTTTTTGACCCTAAAAGTGTCAAAAAGTAAATGTCTATTAAAGATATATAAAATATTCACAGCACGTGTTTGCGCACGTGGATTTGTTTAACTTCTTGGACATTTATGCTTTGCCCTTGGTTTTGCCCCTTTAGGTTATAATTTGCACTCATACGGAGGGCAGGAGGCCAAAGTAGCAAGTCATTTTTTCCTTATGCAGACCAAGAACAGGTCATTTATTTACACCGCAACAAGAGAGCTGGATTACACTTACATTTGGTGCCACCAGAAACATCGAAACCATACGCCGACTTTTCAGGTAACATATCAGTCTCTAATCTCGCTACGTTCAAGATTACCTATAACAGTTTCAGAAGGGTTCTTGAGAAGTTTAAAAGGGATAGATGTCGGATCCAGTAAAAAAGCAGGGTCGCCTTCATCTCGCGGAAACCGTTGAAAAGGTCAGAGTCTTTTTGAGGGCCTTTAAATATAACAAGACACAAATTTCAACATTAGAAATAGCCAAGGTCTTACAGTT